CAAAGATGAGACGGAGGAACGAGAGCCCCGGTGGACAAGGTATTGGCCGGCGGTCACGGTCGGACTTCAACAGGGTTGATGAGGGAGGTGGAGAGGGTTAGGGATTTGAGAGGGTGCAGCGGTTTTAGGTGTTGGGGATGTAATTTTTTGGGGGAAATGTTGGGTTTAGTACAGGGGAGAATGGAGAAAAAAGAGTTTTAATTTTTTTTAAAACCAATCAAAACTCCCAATTAGTTCAACCAGTTGGTCATATCCCAAACGGTTTAAACCGTTTGGGACTATCGTTCATGATTTTTTAATCTCCAAATGGTTTTAACCGTTTGAGTTTATTATCCTAAATGGTTAAAACCATTTGTGTTATTTTGACTTGTCCAAACAGTTGCAATAACTGTTTGGACTGTACTATTTTGTACTAGTGTTTGAGCCAACTTTCCATGCTAAAACACCCATTGTCCAACATTTTATGAAGTCCTTATACTGTATTTTAAAGTACTGTCTAGTTTACCCTTTTGTGAAGTGACAATTTTTTTTTTGTCTCATTTGGTAGCCCATCATTACATCATACAGTAAGAAGTGATAGATTAAAGAGAAGAGAACAGGATGACATTAATGACCGGGAGAGATTTATTGGAGGGAAAGGAAAAATTGGAGGGAAACATTCTAAATTCCCTCCAAATAATGTCCCATGTCAAAGTTATAGCTTATTCCCTCTTTAGATTTTACTCAACAACCTTTAACAACCTTCAATAATCAAAACAAGTTTAAGTCTTTGCTCTTAACTTCTCTAACAACCAAAATAGAAGAACCTTTAATATGTGCAATTTCGTTAAATACCAATGCAACCCTTATTAAAGTCAATTTTGTAACAACTTTAGCGGAATTGAAGATGCACGCTGTGGAGAATTTGAAAGTACGGTTTGAAAGTTTGTTGATAAGTTACTCTCTCGGGAATTTTCCCAATGTCTCGTCTGAGCTTGTAAAAGATGAAAATATTCTCAACATAATTGGTTATCATCATTCAATGAGGATAAATACGATAACCATGACTATTACTGAAAGAGATGAAGGATCCACGCATGCCATAGGGACAGAAACAGAGTTTAAGTAAGTATTCAAAAGATTATTTTCAAGTTCTGTATACACGTTATAATGGGAACTGTGATACTTACGTCTTGTATGTGGCCTGTAGACATTGTACGTTACATATCGACTTTATTTGTGATATATACAAGTTAACAATTATTTGTAAGTGTTACACGTGACTTATATGTATGTTATATTCAATTTGTAGTCTTCCTACTGTAAACTCACAATCATCAGAGCATATCCAGGAATCAGAGAGGACCCCTAATGACAATCCTCAAGGAGAGTATGTGTGGATGATGGATGACATAGTAAGTGACTTGATAGGAATTTCTGCATGGTGGCACGAGGCAATTACTAAAAAAGGGCAACAATTTGAAAGTGCAAAAAAAGTTAGAATGTCTCTTATATACTACTCTATAGCTAAGAAGTTCTCTTTCAAATATGTTAATAATGAGCCAAAAAGTATTCGTGCTAATTGCATGTTCTAAACAGAAACAAAATGCATGTGGGTGCTTTACGCTTCACCATTGAGCCATGTGTCGACATTTGCTATAAAAAAATTTGTTCCTCAACATACTTGTGGACAACATAACAGCATAGTTGGTCACTCTAGAGCATTAAGAAGGTGGATTGTGAGTATTCTACAATCAATTATGAAGAGACATCCATATATCAACCTAACTGACATTAGAAAGGAATTAAACTCTCATATGGTTTAAAAATTAATTATTCTAGAGCTTGATGTACTAAGGAGACATCAAAAGACCAAATATTTGGTTGCACAAGGCACTCATATAGTTTACTACCCTGGTTAGTCCATTAATTTGTTAACCTTAATTATGATTCATTAACCTTAAATGTGATATTTCAGAATGCTATGTGACGTATAAGTATAGTATGTGACATTTAGATGTAATATGTGACTTTTATGTTTTATATGTGAGTTTTTGACATTACATGTGACATTGCGATCTCACATGTGATATTATGGTATTACATGTAACATCCAGACCTTATATGTAACATGCATGTCTTACTTGTGACAGTTAGAACTTATTCTCAAGTACAAAAGAGGAGAAGATTTATTTGAGTTATCTTTTATTTAACATGAGTTCTATGTGGCGAAAGAATGCCTCACTTGATGCTTGAATCGAGTGTTTCTCGTTAACGATCAGAACAAGATCGCTTTCCCTCAAGAAGGGAAAATTAGCCTCTGTTGATGGCTTAGATCGCAAAAGTTATGGTTCAAATCTCAAAGGGGTGTCTCTCAATTTGAGCACTCTCTCCCGCGTGAATGTCCAAGTTGGTTTTTTCATAGCTGCTTGTGGCTATTTATAGGCCCTTAGCACGTAACTAATGTGCTGAAAGCGTGGGGTCATGGCATAACTAACTCCTTGGATTTAGCCCATGTGGGCTGACTGGGTCTTCAAGACCATTAGCGTCAAGCCTCACTTGATGAGACAATCCTTGTTGCGTGGTGAGGTTTGTCTGATGAGACGAGCCTCGATGCGCAACAGGATTCATCTGACAAAGCAAGTTTCTCCTTTTGATGATGAGCTTCGCTGCGTGGCGAGCCTCATGAACTTCTTTTGACGAACTTCGTCTTTTGAGAAAGCTTCGTCTTCACTGACGAGCTTCACTTTTTGAAGGAGCTTCATCTCCTAAAGGATAAGGCGTTGAGAGTCTTGTTTCTAGGTGAGCTTCGTCTTCAATGACGAGCTTTGTCTTCTGAATGATAAGGCATCGAGTGCCTCGTCCTTGGGTGAATTTTATCTTCTGAAGGAGCTTCGTCTTTAATGACAAGCTTCATTTTTTGAGGGAACTTCGTCTCCAATGACAAGCTTCATTTTTTTAGAGAGCTTCATCTCCAATGACGAGCTTCATTTCTGGGTGAACCTCGTCTGAAATGACGAAGTTCGTCTTTTGAGGGGTGATATGCTGCTTGGCGAGGTTTGTCACTCTTTTGTCTCTTGACATTTTTTAGTGCCTACAAGTCTAAATAATTAGTTGATGATAATGATCTATGAAGATCAATAAGAATGGAAGAGAAATAGACTTTTTGACTAGCCTCTGAATCTCTCTCTCTCTCTCTCTCTCTCTCTCTCTCTCTCTCTCTCTCTCTCTTCTCCATAGCAAAGACCTTTCCTCCGCCTCTCTCCTCATTTGATTCATGTTGACCATGCCTATTTATAGTCTTGGGAGCATTATGGAGTGAGTTAGTGGGCTTTAACTCCCCTTAAAATGAGGGAGTTAGTGGTCATTAACTCCCATTTAAATGGATGTGTTAGTGGTCATTAACTCTCCTTAAATGGATGAGTTAGTGGTCATTAACTGCTTCCTTAAAAGTAGCCTCTAGAAACGGTAGCAGATGAGGTTCGTCAATAACGGCTATGCACGAGGTTCACCAATAATGGCCATGGGCAAGGTTCGCCAATAATGGCCATAAATAACTTCACCACACATAGCTCATGTGGACTATTAGGCGAAGCTCACTATTACTAAGGTGAACTTCACTACATCTTTGGTAAGCTTCGCTGCGGCTTTGGCTTCGGCTTCGGCTTTAGCTTCAGCGAACTTCGCTACGACTTCAGTGAACTTCTCTCTGTGTCCTGAATGGACTATTTGGGTGAAGCTTTTTTTTGGACAAGCCTTGTTAGAAGCTTCACTTTGACTTGATCTTGAGAGTGAGCTTTATTATAACTTGGGCGAGCTTCGCTATGGCTTGGAGGAGCTCCACTGATAAGTTCAGATTTGACTCAGAACCTGACTTGAACTCGTTTATTGACTCGACCCACTTGAGGATGCCTTTTGACTCAGCATTGAGTCCGTCTTGAGAATTGACTTGGATTCAGGTCCTCTTCAGCTCGGATGCGGTCATGTTCATATGTGATCTAAGTGAAATTCACTGTAGCCTACCATATGCCAATGCTTGAGCTTATCTGAAGTGTTTAGCTCATGGGTGTTTACTTCTTGGACTCGGACTCAATATTGATCCATCGAGTATATTTTAATCGTCTATAGTAAATGTACCAAATGAAGGTGATGGAAACAAATCAAGGCAGTGTTGTCATCATTGAACAAGAAAAAGGAGATTCAAGCGTTTATTTGTGTCCTATAGTGCATGCATACAGGGGTTTCTCAAGAGATGTAGGCCATGCTCTTTCTAGATGAGACTTTACTTAAAGATTGTTACAAAATGAACTTATTAGGTGCAACTGCTTATGATGGTAATCAAGTCATATTTCCACTCGCATTTGCCATTTGTCACCAATATAATGAAGCGAATTGGAGTTGGTTTATTCAGGGATTACGGTATATTTTGTGCCATTAAACAGAACCATGTAATCCACCCCATTCTCTAGTCCTTTTTGTTAGATGCCAACAAAGGAATAAAACAATCTTTAAAGATATATTTCTAGATGTACACCATTCCAAATGTGTATTTCATCTTGTTGAGAATTACAAATTAAAGCTTAGAGAGATGAGTTTTGCCTCAAGTGCTGCTCAACGAATTTAAAAATTATTAGAGTTTGCCACATACAAATATACAGAAAGAGACTTTAAAGCTATTTTGCATGAGATTAGGATGACGGATGAAAGAGCTTACTAAGTAGCTCTCAGTTATGGTCCAAATAATTAGGCCAATTCTGTATTTCCTGCTATAAGGTATGTCAAATATCAGTCATTTTCTGTGAATTGATCTATTAAATATCACATTATGCTTTTATATGCGACATTCATCTGTTATGTGTGACCTTTACTCGTCTCTTGTGATATTACTCTATTAGGTATGACTTTTATCGGTACGATGTGACAATGTACTATTTCTTGTGACATTTGTAGGTTATATGTGACACATTGCTGTACTTTGTGATAATGAATTTCTGTTTGATACATATGATATTTATTTTCAGATATGGTCATATCGCTTCTAATGTTGCTGAATCTTTCAATAGTTGGATTCGTGTGGAGAGAACACTAGTGTTTGTGATATGATAGATCACATTCGTATACAAATTATGGAAAAGATAAAAACTCATCACGAGATGGTAACAAAATGGAATACCTATCTATGTTATGAAGCGGAAAAAATTCTCCAAGAAAAATGCATGAAGGGAAACACTCTTGAAGTCTCGTATTCTACAGCTGAAATCTTTAAGGTGTCATCTCAAAAATCAGTACAAATTGATTTGGAACACATAACATGCACATGTCGTGCATGGGATATATTGCAAATACCATGTAAACATGTGTGTACTGCTATTAACTTTATGCATAGAGACATGTACTAGTATTGCGATTGGTTCATGGCAACTGAAGCTTTCAAGAAAAGTTATGAACCAATCTCTTTCCTATTCCAAGTTACGATAAGCCAGATATCACAGATGAAACAGTTGGCATAGTTCCCCCAAAGACGACAAAGAAACATGAAAAAAAAGAATAAACATATCAACATCTGATCTGAGAATAGACGTCCAATTAAATGCTCAAGGTGTCATGCTGAAGGACATAACCGAGCAACATGCACTGAACCTATCGAAGACTAATGTTTCCTGGCAGAATTTAAACTCTTTTAGGATTGTTGTCTGTTATATGTTACTTTTATCATTTTATTATGATATTTAGTAGTTAAATGTTACATATTACATGTTCGAGTGACTTATTAATGTTAACTTTGATAGCTGTAATCTTTATAATTTCAGATTCCAAACAATACGTTAAAAGTTCATGGGTAATCACAAATGCACATTTCATCATAGCCACCATAAGTCTCAAACTTTACAAAAAAATTAGTCATATCCATCACAAAATTATGTTATACGTGTTTGTCTAATACTTTCACTTAATCAATGGTACATCATTACCCCCAAAATACAAACGATATTTTAGATCATCTGCATCTAACTTCATGTAAGCTTCTTCAGTTCTCGGTCTTCGCATATAATTTGAGCACCAAGTCATGCCCTTAACATCTCAGAGCCCTTTTGTAAAGCCTCAATGTCCATGACCTTCTTTCTTTCTAGGATCGCTTTGATGTATAGATATGCATCTATGCCACAATCATACCTAAATAGAAAAGAGGTAAAGTAACATTCATATATAGTAAAAATTTGAATGTATAAAGTCACAGGTGATACCTTAACATCACAGATAATATCTACGCATCACAGAAAATACTAAACTATCACAAATAATGAGTAAAAGTCACACAATATATACAAATTTCACAGAAAATAAATATATGTCACTGACAATGAGTATATGTCACACACAATGTATAAATGTCATATAACACCAGCATATGTCACTAACAAGGAGCATATATCACAAAAAATGTACAACAATCACATATGATAAGGAAATGTCATCGAGAATGATTATGCATCACAGATAAGGAACAAGTATCACAAAAATTAATAAACTAGTTAGTATAAGTTGTATAGAGAAACTTACGAGCTTTTTTGTAATCGACAAGGAATTTCTTCATATTCAAATGCTCTGAATGTCGACGTTTGGTCGAATCCACTTACCATCCTATGTAGAAATAGTTGGATTTTCAAAACGTCTCTAGCCTATGTCTCATAGCGAAACTGTAATGTCTGCATTTTTTACCCCAAATTAACCTCAAGGACATGCTATGATCAGTGTGACATATCAAAATTAACAGAACTTCCTTCACATCATCTATATGCTTCTTTATATACTTTTTATATACATTTTTCTCGTTCACATTTGAAGCAGTTAGCAATCATATCTTTAAAAAAGGGAAAAAGAGGAAGAAAGTCAAATAACATATAAATGCAACATTACTTGGAAAAGCTTTATGATCGATAATACTCACACTAAAATAAATTTTCTTTCCAAATCCATACTTTCTGGTAGCTTGAGCCATTTCTGAAGTCTTGTAACCAATGCTTCAACGGTTAACGATTGCAAATGCAATAAATCATGTAAAAGTAGAAGATTTGAATAACACCGTAAGTTAAATAAAAAATATAACCTCATCTTTTAGTCTTCCACCATGTAGCAGATGAAGGATATCATATCTGTTTATACTGTGGTTGTTGACCTCATAAACAATCATCTTTCTAGATAATATGCGCAACACAAGCAACATATAAGTATTATAGAAACTTTTGTCACAGAGTGCACGTAAATGTCACAGATAACAGTTACAAGTCACACAAACAAACTAATTATCACAGCGTACATGTAAATATCACATGAAAACACTAAGAGTCATAGAAAATAAGTAATTATCATAGATTACATGTAAATATCACAAAAGATTTATATAACTACTTCATACTTACTTGTACACTTTTAACGGTAGAAAATATTGAAGCCACTTGTTCTCATCATCATATAAATTAAAAACATCATGCACTGTGAAATTATGATAAAATTCATCTTTGATAACTCCCGTGAGCCTAATATCAAAGTCACGCGAACAAAGAATGCCCATATTCAACATCTTTAATAATTTCTTTTCTTCTCTAGTTTTTCCCTTCTCCACAAGTGTTCTATAGATGTTCTCGTATCAACATATGCAGTAGCAATTTCTTTCTCCTCTTCCTTCTCCCTTTTGTCGTTGTCATCTTCCACAATGACGACAAATTTCTTCCCTTTACTTCTTTTCTTAGGGATAACTGTTTGGAACAGAGATTCTAAGGATTTGGGCTTCTTTGTTGTTCTCTGGCTCCTTGCCCATAGCCCCGAACAAATTTTGTAACATTTCATCTATTTCCTTCCTCCTTTTCCTTCCTTTTTTCATTACAATAACTTCCTCAATTACTTTCACATCTACGGGCTATATAAAGACCACATTTAATGAGTGTATATCACAGAAATAGGATATAAGCAAATGTAACAGACAAAATTCATGTATCACAAAAAATGAGTAAATGTCATAGGCAAATTGTTTAAGTCACAAAGATAAAGTGTATGTCATAGGAGATCAGTAAATGTCATAATAAAGAGTCAACTATCACATATAATAAGGAAATATCATAGGAAATATTTAAATATCATAGGAAATATGCATGAATCACTGGAAATTACTAATTGTCACATAATATACGTAATTGCCACGTGTAATATGCAAACGTCACAGGAAACAAATAATTATCATATGATTTATGTGTGTTACCTCCTCAACATCGATGCCCATATCTGCTCTATCATCCTTAACTTCTTCCATTTCTTTGCCTTGATCATCTTCTTTCTCTGCCTCATCTTTTCTCCCTATCTCTCTCTGAGGCTACATAAATGTCAAAGCAATAAATAAAACTTTTTACAAAGAACAAACGAGTACATGAAGCAGGAGAAAATTTATTACCTCCTCATCCTTCCTTTCTCTTTCTTGTTTCTATTCAACAAATCTTCTCTCGATATCGACTTTAATGACCTTTGTATCAACGCCAAGTGAGACAAGTATGTTCTTGCTCATAGGCTTCATTCAGCATTAACAGCTTCTTATAAGCTTTAGTCTACATTAACAATTAAGTTTTAGTGAGCAAACGTCACATATAAGAAGGTCACACATAAATATCATATAAATACTACATCTATCACAATAAACTACTACCAATTGGCAAAGATAACAATGTATCACAATGTGACGTCCCTGGTTTCATGCATGCTTGCAGTCCAATGTGAACACAAAGATGTCAAACCTATCATGCACCCAACACTGTGCAACAACATGTTTCACCATCATAATAATATCTCTCTAGTAGATGTTAACAATAAGAAGTGAGCGTACAAACAGATATATCAAAGGTCAAAATACAAAGATTACAATATAGAGAAGAAATATCTAATGATAATCAAAATTATGTTCCAATAGAAGAAAATACATTTGATAATTTGGAACAAGAACATCTGATCTTTATTACATAAGAGTCAACTGAAAAGTACATGGGCACTCAGCCTCCAAAATGAAATGCATCTCTAAAAGAAAACTAAAATCATAATAGTCTACCATGGAGCACCAACCATCTACCTATAGATGACGATGACTATGCTGAATCCTTGTCAACCCACGACTCTCCAGAACTCTAACCCGTTACCTAAAAAAGGGGAAAACAATAGTGTCAGAGCACTAGCAAGAACACCTCCGCGCCCCCCCCCAAGGGAAGGGCTACGCATATAATGGAGGCTCTACCTATAAAGTGCATAATCTACCTATATCATTTACCTTCTATTAAGAGGGGTTAAGATTTGAAAATCCACAACACGAGATGAGTACATCGAGGGAATAATCCAAATAAGGAAACCCTCATATATATATATATATATATCATTTATCTCAAATTGTGAATCGCTAAATATCAACTCCAAAAACCTATAAGTAGACAAGCAACAAAAGAAAACCCATCACCAAAACCTCATCCAAAAAATATGTCGTAAAGTAACATCTCACACTACCCTTGGATAGGTGGCACAGAAACAAAAATACAACCTGTGACATACCTCATCAAGGACACGTCATACATGTCTAAATACAATATTACATACTACCCTCAAGGTACGTGACACGGGAGCAAAAACACGATCCTGTGTATTTTTCACAACTAAAATGGTGTGGAGTATAGGTGCTTACAATATCCTATGGCGCATCGCGATATCTTGCATCTCACTACCTAACTCGAACACCCTGCGGAGTGTAGGCATATTAGCCTAATCTGGAACACAATACAAACAAAAGGAATATGGAGTCTCAATACTCACAACATTCTGTGGTTCATCGCAGACTCATGCGGCTCATAACTTAACTCGGACATCCATAAAAAAGGTATGATGCAGAGCATAAATACTCACAGTATCCCACAGTTCATGCAATCTCGTGCGGCTCACAATCTATCTCGGCCATCCATGCAAACGTCGACATTGACTATACAACTCGATAATTGTCGCTCCTACATCGTGACAGCTTGACACATGACCACGCACTCCTGAGGATCCGTGTGTGCCTAAACTAAGTGTGTACACCACCATGGACATGCACATGTATCGGCATGCGGTCCCATCCTTCATGTTCATGACCAAACATACGTAGAAGATCATTACTTGCAAATAGCTCCAGATCAGTCGACTGATATTTGAAATCAGTCGACTGGCAGTGAATCAGTCAACTGATTTATCCTATCAGTCGACCAAATGTGAAAGTACACAAAACACGCACAAGCAACAAACTTTGGTCGGTCGACTGACCTCATATATCGGTCGACCGTTTAGTTAGTTGATCGATACATGGGGTTAGTTGACCGACCAGAGTATAGGAACATGAAAGTGGTTTTCAAGAAATTAAATAATTTTTTCTCAAAAGAACTTGTGAAACATTACCATGGGGTGTATAAACATGTTTAAATCTCATGTTTAACATAGCGAGGGTTTGGCCAAACAATTATTCATCATCAAAATATTATTTTTGGGATCTAATCTCCCTACACCTCCCTTAAACAGCTTTTAGTTGAATAATTAGGGTTCTACTCATCAAAAGCTTATCTTTTCTTCATTTAGTATTCGGATCTATAGATCTTATTCATCCAATTAGGGTTTTAAACCATTAGAAATAAAAAACTAAAGGGGATGAGTTTGGGAAGAGATGAACTTGCCTTCCAAATCACTTTGATCTTCCAAACG